GAATCTGTCACTGCCAATGTAGGCAACAGCATCTCCACCACCCTTCCCCCATCTTTCTTTAGTTGAGTCATGATCAATTACTTCAATTCAGCAAACACATCATATTATCCCCTCTTGTGATTCTTTAGCCTCATCTGAGATTGCATGACTCTAATGATGTTCTTTAAGAACATCAAAGATGTTTCATTTTTAGTTAGATTCACTCTGAATACACAAATATGAGTGCACATGTGAAAACACACACACACACACACACATACACACACAATGCAAGGTAGAATTACTATATCCAAAAGCACTGGAGGCTTATTTCTCTCCAGATCGAATGGGCTTACAATTTAGTCAATGATCATCCAGCTGAAGACCACTATATTACACCTAGGAAAAAATCCTTCAGAGTGAGGAAAACAACGTTGCCCCTAAATACACTGGAAGATTTCATTTAATACTGTTCTAGACCCCTGGAATACAGGAAAACAATATTTACTCTAACCTTTTACAGTCAATTGAGAAATCAGAAATTTGTGGGACAGGGCTTTTCTTTGTAATAGAAAACAGATACTGACTTTCCAAACACCTACAATGAATTTCATCCCACAGATTTTCAAAGGTATCTACTCCTACCCCCTCGTTTTCAGATGAGGAGGCTGAAGCCCAGATGAATGCGATGATCTCTCTGAACAAGTCTATTACTGTTGTTTTCTTTTAGAAAAAAAGTAAAGACAATTTTTCACATTGATCAAATGCTTTCATGTCCTTTTTTCATCATATGCAAATAAAATTTAAAAACCAGTCTATATAACACTATTGAAGCCCTTGACTATAAGAAGCATAACATGTTTAACATAAATAATATGTTCAAGAATATGAACACAGAAATGTGTTTAAAAGATCTCCCAAATCCAGCACATACCACATATATCCCAAGGCCCCTGGAAGAGGAGTTGATCAATGTATAAAATATATTGATCTCACTGATGATCTGAAGCATCAAACTTTACATGCCTAGAAGCAGAGCTTTATATTTCTAAACTTACTGGAATCAGATCCATATTTTCTATGATGATAACTATAATGACAACAAAGTGATTGGCCAAGAGAATATCATTTTAGAAGCAAGGAGTAGAGTGAGGAGGGCATAGTAGCAAGAAAGTTTAAATGCAGTAAATCTTGCCATTGCAACCAAAGAAGACAGAGGAGCATGAGCAAGCTAAGAGTAAAGTCCCAATTGTTTATTTAATGAGTTAATACATTTAATTTCAGATAAATCATCCTAAGAAATGTAAGCTGAGTCATAGAAATAGCATGACCAAAAGAGCAGAAATGTCAAAAAAGGTTCATAGAACTTGCCTATCAATCCTACCTATTAAATATAACTTCTGAGCTAATGGAGAGATGAGAATGAAATGATGGGAAAATGCTATAACCCCAAGCACATTTTGAGAAGAAACATTGGGTAACTGAATTGCTAAAACCTGAGGATTTCAAATTACATTTTACATGCTCAAATTATACATTATAGGACACATATAAATGTTATCAGATTGTAAATGAGACTCATTTGAAGCACACAGTTTTGTATTTCTACATAGATTAGAGACTCATATTATGAAAATATTTTGTGTAACTATAAATCATTATAAAATATTTTATTAACTTAAAGAATATTTGAGTTCATACAGTTAAAATATTCTGCCACACTTTCTTTGCTGACCCTTGAAAATTTTTCTAACTCCGGCATGCCAGGGGATACATAGGTACTCCAAAGTACTCTGGGTTGTAGAATACTGACTCGGGAGAAAGAAACAACAAACAGACCAAAACCTCTTAAGCAAGCTGCAGTGCAACCTCAAGGCCCATTCAGTGATAGCCTCGGTTTGTTAATTTTACATTCCTACCTGACAACAATGCAATCAGAACCTCTTGAAGAAATACTATTTTCTGGGAATTCCTGGGGATTGACGAATCGCCATACCTAAGTGTTGGACACTTATCAAATTTAATAGTATACCTATTGTTTATATTTTTAAAAGCATTGAGAACATTATTTTTTCTGATTAAAAAATAAATGTACATATGTTTTTAAAACATTAAAAATAGAGGCTGGACGTGGTGGCTCACAGCTGTAATCCTAGCACTTTGGGAGGCCAAGGAGGGTGGATCACCTGAGGTCAGGAGTTCGAGACCAGCCTGATCAACATGGTGAAACCCCGTCTCTACTAAAAATACAAAAATTATTCAGGCATGGTGGCATATGCCTGTAATCTCAGATACTCAGGAGGCTGAGGCAAGAGAATTGCCTGAACCTGGGAGGCTAGGTTGCAGTAAGCCAAGATCACATCACTGCACTCCAGCCTAGGTGCAGTGGTGTGATCTTGGTGTAGCCAAGATCACAAATCTAACCAAGATTAGGTTTTCTATACACAACTTGGAATTGGTTTTATTCATGTGACATGAATAAAATATCCATTATGATAATGATGATTTTTCATTTGTAACATTCTATGTATAGAGTGGTTTCAGAGGACATTTGGAGATCAAACGCTTTTGTTTTTATCATTCTAAAATACTTTTAGAATGATCCTATGATTTTATATGATGATTAATATGAAGGGGTGTCACCTCCAAGCTGAGGATAGTTTGATGATGATAGAATTAAGAAGAATCAAGAAGGATTTTGGTGACTAACACTAGGATTTTAGGGTGAGAAAACATGTATAACATTTTGACCAAAAGCCAAGAGAAGAGGAAGCATAAAGCTAGAAAAAGAAATTGAACACACAGAAAGGAGGGCAAAATAAAATATGAGGATTATTTGTGGAGATGAATGTTTTAGGCCCAGAAAATAAATCTTGTTCTTTCTATCTTCTTAAATATATTATCAATTCATGTATCAACCGAAGCAAGAAAAATTACTGATATAAAGAAAGCAAAATTCACCAACTGTCAATAATTTTATCAAAAAAAAAAAAGGATTTCCCTAAATAGAAATTATCATCAGAAATATCCAGTGCAAGCACCTCTTTCTTTGTCTTTCAAATTTGAGCTTGCTTTTTATCTGAGACACTGATTGGTCCACCCAATGTTAATATCTACTACGTAACAGATACCATTTTAGGCCTCAGGGCTAAAATTAGACAGCTGTTGTTTCTGCCTTCTCCTGAGATACCAAAAACATAATGTGAAAGTTAGATAAATTACTGCATTAATTCTAGCAAGGAAACAGACAAGGTGCTGAGATGGTTCCTAAATCAAAGCCATTATTTCAGACTGGATTCACAGGGAAGTGACTTCTGAGAAGTGGCAGATAATCAGACTGAAAAATAATAAGATACTAGCCATGCTTACGCATGCACATACATGCTCATACATACACACACACACAGTTGGACTTTAATATGTATTTCATAAAGTCAGTTTTCATCACTAGCAATAACGTCTTTGGATAGAACCATCCATTGTAGCCTCCTTCACTTGGGCAAACCACACTGAATCCTCTTCAGGCTAGAAGCCTCCACAATAGGGTTCTAGTACTCACTGGAGCTCAACTGGTGGTTTCTGGCTGTCAGGATAAAGGCAGTCTTTTGTGGCTTCTCCCTAGAGTACTTCTGAGAGACTGTTTCTGCTCATACTTCTGCCTCTGAGTCACAAGTTTCACTACTGCAGAACATGGCAATTTTCTTTTAAGCACCAAACATTCTTTTGACATTCTGCAAAGGGAAACTACTTAATTTGAAAGGTAGCCAATGGTCACAGAACACCCTCTGTTCAGATAGTTTTCCCTCAGAAAATATGATCAATTCATCAGTTATTCTTAGTGGTACACACACAGTGGTGCAATGCCTGGTGTTACTGACATGAAAAAGTGTTATGGTAGCATTATGGTTTGGATTCCATGTACCCACACCTTGCCTTAGATTACATTTTAGTTACCCTCCCAATCCATCTCAGCAGAATACATGTCCAGCTGTCAGAAATCATATTTAAGTGCAAACTACTAGACGTTTCTTAACTCATCCTAAGATTAGAAGTGTATTATCTCAGTTTTTAAGGAGTTTCCTTGATAATTTGGCAATAACCTTGACATAGGACCCCAGGTTAGAAAAAATATATATACGATAATTAATTGTAAGGTTCATGCTGGAGATTGGTAGAAAATAATAACAGCTGAATGTGGTAAGGTGTGCTATAGCAGGGAGAAATCTGTTCCTTCCTGGGGAATCCTAGTCAACAGAGAAGGTAGACAAGGTCTCCTGTCTGTGCTTTGTATTTGTGAAATGTCTCTGAGTTCAACAGAAATAACTAAGTCTAACAACTTTAAACATAATTTCAAAATATACTCAACATAGAGAAAAAGGTAACGTTTCTGCAACAGTCTCCAATAGCTAAACAAACCAAATAAATAGAGCTGGAAGTTCTATCTAAATATAAATCATTGCAAATAGTTATTATAATTTTAGTATACCTCATATGTAAAGTATGTATATATTTACAAAATGTTTCCAGGCCGGGCGCGGTGGCTGAAGCCTGTAATCCCAGCACTTTGGGAGGCCGAGGCGGGTGGATCACGAGGTCAAGAAATCGAGACCATCCTGGTCAACATGGTGAAACCCCGTCTCTACTAAAACTACAAAAAATCAGCTGGGCATGGTGGCACGTGCCTGTAATCCCAGCTACTCAGGAGGCTGAGGCAGGAGAATTGCCTGAACTCAGGAGGCGGAGGTTGCGGTGAGCCGAGATCGCGCCATTGCACTCCAGCCTGGGTAACAAGAGTGAAACTCCGTCTCAAAAAAAAAAAAAAAAATGTTTCCAAATTTATTTCTTGTTATCCTTGAGTAATTTTTCCACGTAAGTGCAAGCATGGGTACTACACATATTAGAAATGAAGACACCTCAGGATTGGGTTATGTCCCGAGAATCACCCTTTGTGGAAAGGTGTGGCACATTAGAGTTGGAAAAGTTGATTTATGTCCTGGTTCTGTCTTATACTTGCAGTTAAGTTTGGGAAACCCTTAAATACTTTTATTCCTCATTTGGTTATCAGTAATAATGCCCACCTCACCAGATTGTAAAGGGATCAACAGATGCCAAAAAAAAAGTGAAAGCCATAAATGTTAACCAGTGTAAAAGGATTATTCTCTTCCTAAGCTCAAGAGGAGCTCAAAGTCAAACGACCCTTACCAAAGAAGTGGTTCCCCCAGTGCTCTGAGAGTCAGTCATTAAGGACCAACAATCCGGTGAAGGCTGAGCAAGCCACTCACAATCCCAGCCCTTCCCTCACAGATCACCTATCCACCAATATTGAATACTGTACCAACACTCAAGAACAATAATTCTGGAGGAAATAGGGACAGTACAAATTGCGCTATATGATAAAAAGTTCTTTCTTGAATCAGTAATTACTTTTAATTGAAACAAGCACACCAATATTTTTGTGTGCAGTTCCTGACTCATTAACAAGAATAACTCTTCTTAGGATTTCTCACTGAAAGACATAAAATAGATCATCAACCATGTTAAATTAAACTGTGAGGCATGGAGCTTATCAACACACAACGTGAGTGGAAAATGCTAATCCCTCATTTCTTAAACTCATTCCCCACCACAGACACCTTTAGTCCAACAGGGTAAGTGCCAATGATTGGTGTGACTTGAAAAATGTTATTCCTATTCACATATGTAATTCCTTTCTGAAAATCTGCTAAAATATTTCTCACTGAATTCCCACAACTTCCAACAACAGGTCAACTGCTTCCCATAAGCTGAAGCAAGGATTAAATCAGACAGGTGCTCAGAAGTGTGGTATCTCTCCCTTCCTCAGTGCAGCAATGGGCAGAGACATGTACATGTGGCAGACATCATGGGGAAGAGGGGAATTTGGCTCCTGTCTATTTTAAGACAATAAGGCCTTTCTTAGGTTTCATGTTGGGGCCCATGGACTAAGCTATGACTTGATGGGCATGGCACTTCCCAGGTAAAATTCTTCTGTTTAAATAAAGCAGGGAAAAGCAACACATCTAACAGAGACAGAGGAAGGAAGAAAAAAGAATGGGAATTGTTAATTCAGCCCTGAGGAAAGTGGAGTCTGTCAGGAGGGCCCAGAGAGCTACCCTCAGGGCTCTCAGGAGAAAACTGATAATCAACCTTGAGGATTCGAAAATCCTAAAGAGAGTTTTCCTCCAACTCTGCCTTCCCAAAGATTCCTGAGCTGAGATTTTCTCAATAATCAAAGGTAGCCATCAAAGTGTCTCCCAGGAGAGAGAACTTCTCCTCTTCACGTCAGTTTCTTCAAATGTTACATGGGGACACATTTGATCACAAGACATCCTCAAGTAAAATTTAAAAAACATATAAAACATGGAATCAGCCTAAATGCCCATGAATGGTGGATTGGATAATGAAAATGTACTACATGTACACCATGGAATACTCGACAGTGTTAAAATGAATGAGATTGTGTCTTGCAGATGTGTGGATGAAGCTCGAGTTCATTATCCTAAGTGAACGAGCACATAAACAGAAAATCAAATACCACATGTTCTCACTTATAACTGGGAGCTGAACGTTGAATACATATGGACACAAAGCAGGGAACAACAGACACTAATACCTACTTGAGGTGTAGGGAAGGAGTTGGGTGAGGATTAAAAACAACCTAGCTGGGGAGAGATAGCAAGGGGAGAAATGCCAGATGTAGGTGATGGGGAGGAAGGCAGCAAATCACACTGCCACGTGTGTTCCTATGCAACAATTTTGCATGTTCTTCACATGTACCCCAAAACCTAAAATGCAATAAAATAAATAAATGGGGAAAAAAAAAACAAAAAAAAAAAACAAAAGAGATGCTAACAATTGGCTGTAGTGATAAAAAAAAATTTAAAAAGCATGATAAAGAATAACAAAAGATGGGAGGGATAAGTTTAAATATATCAATAATTCCAATAAATGTGAACAAATTAAAAAAACAAACAAACAAAAAAAAAACAACCTGTCTTATACTATGATTATTATCTCAGTGGCAAAATAATGTGTACAAACTGTTATGACACAGTTTATCTATGTAACAAACCTGCACCTGTACCCCTTAAGCTAAAATAAAAGTTTAAAAGGGAAAAAATAAAATACAATAAAAAATAAAAAAACATAAAATTCTACGTTTCCCAAAAGGGGAGCTGCTTTACAGAGATCCTGCAGCAGAGATTTCTTTATCTCCTTTTCTGGAGGACATTTGGTTTCTTTAGGAGGGAGATGGTATAATTCTTCTGAGGCATGGTCAGTGAAGTTATGAGTTTCACAATGAATTGTCTGTTCCTTGAGAGTGAGCTGATTCAAGAGACAAGTTTGGACACATCACTCTTAACTTACTTCTTTAGAGAATTAATTATGGGTGAGGTGCCAGTTAAATTTTGTCACACACTCAGGGTATTTCTGGCAATGTCACAGTGAGATTCCATCCTTCTCACTGTGAGGAAGGATGAAAAACCCAACAGCATGGCAGTTGGGAAATGTGGATTCTCATTCAACCTGTGTTGCCTTAGACAAGTCACCGGAAATTGATAATTCTAAATTTTCTCAATGTGTTGTTACTATCCTGTGGGATTTTTTTGTGAAAAGTGAATAAGGCAATGGATATATTACTCCACTGCAAATTGTAAATATTTTTTTTATATACTTTAGGTTCTGGGGTACATGTGAAGATCGTGCAGGGTTGTTACATAGGTATACACATGCTGTGGTGGTTTGCTGCATCCATCCTCCCGTCACCTACATTAGGCATTTTTCCTAATATTATACCTCCCCAATCTCCCCACCCCCTGCTATCCCTCCCTGAGCCGCCCAGCCCCCAACAGGCTTTGGTGTGTGATGTTCCTCTCCCTGTGTTCATGTGTTCTCATTGTTCAACACCCACTATGAGTGAGAACATGCGGTGTTTGGTTTTCTGTTCTTGTGTCAAAGACACATGCACACGTATGTTCATTGTGGCACTGTTTACAATAGCAAAGGCTTGGAACCAACCAAAATGCCCATCAATGATAGACTGGATAAAGAAAATGTGGCACATATACACCATGGAATACTATGCAGCCATAAAAAACAGATGAGTTCATGTCCTTTGCAGGGACATGGATGAAGCTAGAAACCATCATTCTCAGCAAATTGTAAAGATTTTTAAAGCAAAGTATTTTTTAAAATACATTTTATTGTGTGTATTTAAGATACACAACATGATGTCATAAGATATATACATATAATAAAATGGTTAGTATAGTGGAATAAATTAAAATATCCATCATCTCACAGAGATATGCAGTCTCACTGCCCCTATGGCAAGAGCAGCTATAAAATACTCATCTAGCAAAAACCCTGAATACAATACACTGTTAAAAACTGTAGTCCTCATGCTGTACATTAGCTCTTTTGACTTGTTCAACTACATTATTTGCTACTTTGTATGCTTTGACCTACATCTTACAGAAAGATGAAGTGATGGACATATGTTCTGAAACCCCAACTAAGACACCTAATCCACTAGGTATATTTGAGGTATGATGGGATATAGAATTTTTCTTTTCTTTCTTTCTTTTTCTTTTAGACAGAGTCTCACTCTGTTGCCCAGACTGGTGTGCAGTGGTGCAATCATAGCTCACTGCAGCCTTGACCTCCCGGGGGCTCAAATGATCCTTTCACTTCAGCCTCCCAGGTAGCTAGGACTACAGGTGTGAACAACACACCTGGCTAGATTTTTTTATGTGTGTGTATTTTTTTGTAGAGAAGGGTTTTCCTATGTTGCCCAGACTGGTCTCGAATTCCTGGGTTCAAATAATCCACCTGCCTTGGCCTCCCAAAGTGCTGGGATTAAAGATATGAGTCACCATGCCTAGCTGAGAATTTTTCAATTAGAACTACTACCTAAAATCAAGTTTCCTAAATCCATACCAGGTGATGTCTGGGCATTGTTCTTCACACACTTTGCCTTAGTTCTACAAGAAATTACATTTTGCAGTACACTAGTGGCAAGAATCTGTGAGTTTTCTTCTCAAAGAGGAGTCAGAAAGCAATGGGATACATTTTTGGCTTCTTTCAGTGCTCTGAGTACTTCCTTTACTGTACACATACAAATGAGCCTACTGTTTATCCAAAGCCCAGATCATCTGAGGTTATGAATGGGAAGAAGTCACATAAAACTAGAGAACTATCACTCTGTGTTGTCATGGACCCATTTCCTTAAGTCAGGGTACTATGATTTTGGCAGACATCTTAAGCTAGATGTTGCCATTTGACCAATCTAACTAATCTATCAACGATTCTAACCAGATTTTTAATTATCTGTTTAGGTAAATGTCAAATGAAATAGGATGGTGTAGGGCATATGCATTACATAAAATGTTTCCCTTGGATGAGAGACTTTGCTCATGGTAACCAACAGGATGTCTAGACCTTTGGATGCCATATTGACTCTTTTTTTTTTTTTTTTTTTTCTTTTGAGGCAGAGTTTCGCTCTTGTTACCCAGGCTGGAGTGCAATGGCGCGATCTCGGCTCACCGCAACCTCCGCCTCCTGGGTTCAGGCAATTCTCCTGCCTCAACCTCCTGAGTAGCTGGGATTACAGGCACGCACCACCATGCCCAGCTAATGTTTTGTATTTTTAGTAGAGACGGGGTTTCACCATGTTGACCAGGATGGTCTTGATCTCATGACCTCGTGAACCACCCGCCTCGGCCTCCCAAAGTGCTGGGATTACAGGCATGAGCCACCACGCCCGGCCATATTGACTCTTTCATAGTTTGGCCCAGTCTATCTTTCAGCCTTCCTGTCCATTTTCCCAAAACCACCCAAGGCTATAACTACTAAGGATAATGTACAGGACTCTGAATGCTCCGTTCTTATGTAATGGTACATTCTCTACCCTCTTTTGCTAAGTCCTTTCTCTTCCCCACCGCCAGCGTCAATCTAATAAGACCCTACTAACTGTCTAGTGCTTTATTAAACCAAGACCCAGCTGGGTTAGTCCCATTTTTCCTTGTGATTCTACCAGTCTCAGTGCCTTTGGTTTATCACCTGTATATTGTGTATCATTGTGTTTTCCTCATCAAATCGCTCAGGACAGACTGTAAAGGCTAGAATTGGGATGAATCATCTTCGTATCCTAGGTGTCTAGTGTAGCATGTGTATATAACTAAGTCTGCAGAAATAAATGTTGAATAATAAATGAATAACCATTTCTAGTGCATCAATATCTGTCACTTATAAAGCACTAATCATTTCTTTATATATAATAACTGCAGGGGGACAGAATTAAGTTTATAGTTCAGAATAATAAGATGAAAATGTTACTCACATGAATGATGGATCCTTCTCAGTTTTAAATATGAACAATGTCCTCTTTATGTGGCTACACAGATGATTCCCCTGAAATTTAAATTATTTTATTTTTAGGAGATGGAAGTGAAGGGAGTATGTGAGACCTGCTCACTTTTGCAAGCAAACCATTCTCCAACTCTCTTTGGAATCTTTGGGGTTGTCACAGACTAGGAAGGGAGGAAATCTTTGAGGTCCTATTTATTTCTCTCTTTGGTCCACTGTTAAGGAGGCATGATAAACTGTCATAGAATTGCTGTCTCTACCCAAATCCTATTTCCTTTGGGGCTCTATGAGGATGAATAAAACATTTTCTAAAAAGATTGAGGCAAATTAGCTTTCAGCCTCTTCAAATACAGTTTATCTGACAAAGTTCCATCTCTCTTCCGATGGATTACTGGTACCAACTGATAGCATTGGCTCATCTATAAGCTTGAGGAGCTCACACAGGAAAGACACAAAACCAACAACCAAACAAACAGAAAAACTGATTTTCTGTGATTCATTAAAATGTTTTCATTTTAACTTTTGATCTTCACGGAGTGTGGAATTCTCTGCTAGCAAGTAAAGATAAGCAGCTTTATTGCCTGGCAAAATATCTTTTTGATTTTGCCACTGAGTAGCCCCTAAAGAGAATATAGTATTTACAAACAAGGCTTCTGGCATGTTCTCCTATACGTCCCTGTCCTCTCACAGTTCCAAACGCCTCTTAAAATAGCTTTGCAAGTGCCTTCCCAACATTCCCCAGGAGGATATCATGTTCCTAGTGTAAGTGACAGGGGTCCAGGAGCACATTCTATCACCTAATTGTGAATTTCTCTGGATCATGAAATGCTCAATGTCTCAGACAACACGGCTTCCTCAACACACCACCAATTGCTTCTCCTTTCACTTTACCCTGATATAAAACAAAGCAAAAAAGACAACCCCCCAAAAAACGGCATTTCATTTTGACAACATTTGTGGCAAAGCTGATTACATTTATGGTTATCAAGACTTTGGGATGAAGTAATCTGCTATTTGGAAGAAAAACACTTTGACAAAATTAGGAGAGATGACATCAAAATACAGCTTTGTAATTTGTCTTTTTTTTTCTTACTCTAAAGACACTGCACAGACAATTTTTGTAAATTTGGCAGTAGACGTGATAACAGAGTTTCCTAAGGACCTTATGAATGGGGGAAACAAAAGAAACAAGCAGATTTTATGTTGTTTTATAAAAGAGTTCATCCACCATACTTTCTTCAGCTTTTGAAGTTGTCATACATCTCCAGGGAACAAGCTCATTGTGTAATTCGTTTTCGATTATTCTCGATTATGTAATTGCAAGATTAAGTTGATTTATTTTTATGAGCATCAACATTATTTTTTTAAATACATTATCCCAAGTAGATACTGCAATGATTAATGAGAACCCTAATCATTTACAGATAATTCAGTAGGAAAAATGCCTAGATTATATTTCCAAAACATCTGGAAAGCAAGAAAGTAGATGCTCTCAAGATTAGAGTAGTTCATTGAACCAGGTTCTCAGCGGGAACCCAGAGAACAATACAATGGCCAACACTTGTTCTGACAGGTTGGTATCATTTTATATCTGTCATTAAAATTTTGACAATCACTCATGTTTGAATCCAGCCTTTCCAATAAAATCTTACCACTAAATTGTAAGATCCCTTTGTAAAACATCAGGGAAACCAAAGAAGAAAGGTGAAAAACAGAATCAAAAGTCCCACACAAACCAGAAAGAATAACAAAAGGTTTTTATAGCCTCATGTCTTTCTTAGAAGAAATAAAACTCTAAGATTGAAAATAATCATGTGGAACCTTCCATAGGAGTAATCATTGTAGGGTGATGAAATTGACAATGGGCTGTCGAGATGTTCAGACTCAAAATCCTGTTTCTATCACCTCGGATTGCTGTTATCCACATAACAAGCTATGACTGTTTTCACCCTTATTAAGTCTCCTTACTATAAAACAAAGGCATCTGATGAGATGATGTTGGACATTCCATTAAATCTTTAAATCCACTAAGGTGAAGATATTAAATGTAACCTGACAATGACACAATTGTCCCCAAACTGAATATACTTATCCACTACTTTGTACTGCCTCAAACTGTAATATCCTTTGAAAGACACCAGAGGCTCAAGACGGGGAAAGATGCCAAAACCTTCTCTTTCTAAGCTCCCTAGAAGCTGGTGAAGGCAAGTGGAAGACCTTCCGTGCTAAGGATCTTAGGTCCACTGTAACTACTAAGGCTGAGTAGTGCTGTTAGGAGGGAATGTTAAGTCCTCTGTAAGAGAGCAGATGAAAGTGGACACCTAAGTGTAGTTCTTCTCCTTTTGAGAA